AAGATTCAGTAAGAAACAAAACAAGGGGAGTGAAGAAAACATGTTTTAGGAAGTTCTCAAAGAACTAATTAAAAAAAAAAAAAACTTCACAGAAAGACATGAAGCAAAACTCATCCTGTTATAAGATGGAGTCTAAAGACAGACAGACAATACTCACCAAGAGTGATATCTGGCCTTCTTTCACAATGTTCACTATACTTCTTACTTTCTTCAGGTATTCATTCCTTTCTTCTGTGCCTTGGGCATTGGTCCAGTTCATGCCATTGACCTGCTCTTCTGCTTTGGCCCCTGCTGCTGAGGATGGCAGGTGGAAGGCCCTGAGCTTGCAGTCTGGCCCGGTCTTTTTTCGACTATGGGGATCACTAAAGGCCTTGTTTAGGAAGTCTTTACTGTGGTTTTCTGACTCATATGCAGGGACACATTTACCCAGAACAGGGGAGTTCTCAGAGTCTTCTGTGGAGAGCTTGTTCTGGTCCCGGAGGGTAGTCGATGCTTTCCTTAAGTGAGGGCTTTTCACAGGGGAAAGAACACAAAATGGAGTCATGTTGACTGTGGAGTTCTCAGTGCTTCCAATAGGGCAGGCTTTACCAGAAAGGCCGTTGATGGTTGTGCATAAACCCAAAATTCTTTTTTCAGAAGTCACCTTGGTCAGTGGGGCCAGCTGTTGACTGGATTTAATGTAAGGCACATCCAGAATTTCGTCCATGTCAAGGTCATAATGCTCCAGCTCACCCAGTGCCTGGCTGGGCTCAGAGCCCTTACCTGGCAAGCCCCTGACTCCATCTTCAGGGTTGAGTTCCTCAGGCTGGGAGCCCTGGTCAGTCTCCCCCCCTTTCTGGTATTCTACTGTACTGTTCTTTTGGTCATCATTTTCATTGTTTTCCAGAGTCTCTGGCTGATGTTTCAGTGGAGAAACTCGCTTCACTGGGCGGAACTTGCTGTATACATCAGCGATTCCAGTGGGCTTTTGTGGGTTTGTAATGAGAGTTGAGACACCACAATTCCAGCTAGAGCTAGAAACTGTTAAAAAATAATAGAGGAGACTATTAAATTAGAACTGAATACAGTTTGGCCACGTAGGTAGACATGGCTCACTTACGTTATGTTCACAGTAGGCCCCTGTGTAAGGGAATAAAGCACGAAGGGACATATATCCATAAAACTAATGCTTCATATTTACCACTGCAAGGCAGAGAAAGATGAGATAGTCATGATATAATGACCCAGAACTAACTGAAGTAGCAATAGTGATAAAAGCAGAAAGTTAAATAAACCCTGACAGATAGTTTATGGCTCAGCATCTCTGGTACTATTTACATGTTTGTCACCACCCTGAAACAAAACCAAAACAGAACAGGGATGGGTTTCCAAACCAAGCAGTGAACAATGATATATTTGCACAATACACTTGCAAAAGCATGTACTAGCCTGTACACATATCTCTAATTTGTAAGACATCCATGCATTCATGGAAGAAAACATAACTTATCTTCTACAAACTCAAATTGTGACCTACTATGTGACTTGATAGTTTTCCATTTTATGGTTAGCGACAGCAAAGAAAAGCATAAAGTGGTCAGGCGCTCGTCTGTCCATGGGAGGCAGGCCATGGTTGAGTCGACCCATTCTATACTAAGCATCTTAGACAACCATCATGCTGGGCCATCTCCTGGTGCTTCTCAACCTATGACACAACACAACACATTTCCATTTGACAACAACATGCTCTTTAGAGTGACACCACCCTCCATGTTGGGAAAGGTAGAAACAAGAGCAAGGGGAGGCAGGAAGGTCAGATAGGGAAAGCAGACTAGTACTCAAACTTGCCTTTTTTCAATTTATCTCATTTTTGTGCAGTTAAAATAAAGATTGCATGCTAGCCTACATTCAGGTGGTTGAGATGGACAGTGAAGTAGTCAGACACATTTGGAGATAAAAGATAACAACCACAACCTCTTCTAAGAAGCCTGAATACAATCAAGATGCTGGTAGCATGTCTCAGAGTGGCTGTCCCCACAGCACGGCTCTGTTTTGTCTGAGACACTCCTTTACTAGAAGGCAGATGACCCAGCATTGTCACAGACTAGCAGGCTACTTTATAGGTTTCTATCATCTTTCGTAAGGCAGACAAAGCTTTCTTCCAACTATCCTCTATCCTATGAAACAAATGCAGTTGGGAAAGTTTCATCCCAGAGTAAGCAAATCTACCTGTCTTTGCTGTTGGGCACAGCCAAAGGGCGAGAGACTCTGAGACAGCACAAGTGCTCAGGTTTGTAACCTTCACCCCATCCAAGATAGGATTTCTCTGTGGCTTTGGAGACTGTTCTGAAACTAGCTCTTGTAGACCAGGCTGGTCTCGAACTCACAGAGATCTGCCTGCCTCTGCCTCCCGAGTGCTGGGACTAAAGGCGTGCGCCACCACCGCCCGGCTAAGGTTTGTAACTTTTATAATATCCTTGGTAATGACTTATTCTTACAGTTAAAGAGTTCCCTAAATTTGTGTTTCTAGTCATTGTTTATTCTGAGATGTGTCCTAAAAGCATTCAGAGAAGTTATGAAATAAAGCATATAGTGTCCTGAGCCTGCCTACCATAAAATCCTAAGTTCTGTTCTCCAAATGGTTGACAATGTGGTATAGGGTTCAGAAGGTCTGTACTGCACAGTTCACCCCGGAGGCTTTTCTGACTCTCAACCTTTAGAAGCAAAAAGCTTCTAAAATTTATAGGGGGAGGATTAGTTTCTTCTCAATGAGCAACATAAAGCAAGGGATACTCAGGAGAAGGAAGGCATCTAGATGGCCTCCTGCTTCTCTTACCCACACTGTTTTGTCTCGAGTTCTGAGCTGTACACAAAGCTTGGCCTGCAGCAGACAATTAACAGACACAAGTATGTGAACTTGAATCTCACTTTGCACAACTCATTTGATCTTTTAACATGCATAAAGTGAATCCTTCTGAGGGATTTACAGCTTAATTTCACAGGGGGAAATAAGTTCCCGTAATAAACCCAAAGGAGTGATAATCGCCAGAAGAAGCTAGATTCTTTAAAGTCATTTATGAAATGTCAATATGCAAAGGCAAAGGCTAATTATTCCAATCAATTCCGTATAAATGTAAAAATTTTCTTTTATATGTTCTTGTCTTTCTAGAAATGCAAAGCTATGAAAAGTTATCATTTGCCAGAAATTTCTGCCAAGCCATTCTCTCTGCCTTAAGAGCATACAGTGCCTATTTCACATAAAACAATAGGGAGACAAGACATGGAGCTTAAAAGGGGTAAATAGGCATTTGATTTTACTAACTTTCTCCAAATCTATAAATATTGTGGGAAAACCTATTTATAGACATTCTAAGACACATACTTATTGTTTGGCATGGTATCTGCTGATATTTTGTCAATTACCTTGATTTCTTTGGAGCTCATAAGAACTATGAATCTTAGACTGTATTAAAAATATTTAAAGCCACATGACTTACTGGGTCAATGCAACCAGTGTCCTCTACTGATATATTTATGTATTATATAAGGTCACAGGTTCAAAAAGGCTATTCTTTTATGGTGGCTTTATTTACATGTGAACTTTTTTCCAAGTGATACAGGGAAATGGGTACCATATGTTTTCCAGCTGTTCTGTTCTGACAGGAGCCATTAAGAGTGCTCTATGTAAATGAATTCTGTCTATGTTTTATGAAAACACTTCTTTCCACAGAAAGGTCTAGAAACTGGAGAAGGAGCATCAATATTTGGGAATGTTGTCTTTTTCCTCATTCAAGCCTATGGCTGATTTGTGGGCTTAGGATGAAATCTGTGCCCTCTAGCCTGTCTTGATTACCAAGGGGGGAAACCTGCTTATGAAAAATGAACTAATGGGTTTCATGAGAATGCTCAAATTTGTTGCCATGTCACATATTTGGATGGGCAGAAATGCAGCAAACAAAACACAAACATTCATTTATTTTTCCTAAGCTGGGCAAATACACAGCATAAAAGATTATTAATGGCAGACAAGACTTTCCATTTCAATTCTTTAAGAGTACCACTAAATTCACTTTATTGTTGTTTTGCTCCAGTACCATCACAACATTCTAGTCATCCATGGGAACAAATTTCACACTAACTATGGCTACTGGGAGATTTTTGAGGCTAGATTTTTTTCACTAGCTATTATGTACAAATTCTTGACACATGAACATAATTTAAGTTTCTGAAGAATTTTTATCTTAGTCTTTATGAGTTCTATGAAAACAATGTCTGTGCCTAATTTAGCTCTCTATTCTTCAAAACTCCCAGCAGATTGCTTACCTAAGAAGGTTCTTAATGATGTTTTGCTTTTAGCTGCATTCACCTTTAACATCTTAGGACAGTAAATATGTTTAGTGTGCCTTCAATTTGTCTACCTGATGAAGTCACAAAATTTTAAAACCATCAGTAGTGAGCTGGATGTTCACGATGATCATTTATAGGCAAAATAGTCTCCTATCATCTAGCTGGCATTTGAGCACTAGCAAAGGAATTTCAGTTATCACATAACCGTCAAAAGTCAGCCATGTTCCCAACAAGCAGTAATTCGCATCTAGAATATGCAAAGTTCTCTGAATGGCAATGCATCTGGATTCAGGGGTCTGACTCTCTCCACCTCTGTCTTTTTCTACTCTTTCCCTTCCTCAAGCCCCCTCACTATCCTCTTGATCCTGGCTTAAACAACCACAGTGTCATTTATATAGTCTCTTAAGTCATTCACTTAAGGCATTGTCTGTCCCTCTATTCTCTTGGTCCCTGCTTCACATTGCTCAGACAAAAGTTTGTGGCTTTATCCCAAATCACGCTTGAATCTGGACCATTTTCCATATCCTCACTATATTAACTGGTTACACTGGGATCCTTTTCCATAACCATCACACACTGGTTTCTTGTCTCCCATTGGTCTCTCTTTCTAGTCCAATTAATCCCTCTTTGGGTAAGATTGACTTTGCCACCCAAAATTAGCTTCCAAACCTTAGGTGTCCCATACTTCCTAAAATGACACTGGTATGGGATGCATATCCCCACTGGGTCAGACACACCCGAGGACCCATGATAAACACACCTCATTTACTGTGTGAGAAAACTATTCAGTGTTCAGTCTTCTTTCGCCTCATTTGTTTAAGGAGTCTTAGTTTGGTGCTAGGATTTAATCCCACTCCAAATTTTAGAATATCCTTTAGTAAACAGACTTCAAGTTTCAGGGTCAGTGGATTTCATAAGCAATGAATTAACTGGAGGTTTTTATGTTCATCACATTTCAATGATGTCCTAGGATTCATTTCAAGTATACTGGTTTTCTGTTTACAGCATAACAGCTTCTTCTAAAAAACAAATATACTTAAAAGTAAAGTGCTGTAAAAATATGTTTTATAAATAATAGCATACATTATTTATATTTAAAATAAAAAAGGGATTTTGGGGTATAAAACATAATTTATAATATTACTTAAGTAGCAGGGTTTGTGGACACTGTTTTGTTTGTTTGTTTGTTTTTGTTGTTGGTTTTAGTTTTTGTTTTGTTCCTAACAAAATTCTTTAGCATGGTCTGCAGTGTTTCTTTTGTTCACTTTATAATTTACCTTCTTTTTACAGCATTCATGATTCCCAAACCCCTGCTGTTTCCTTCTCCTCTATTGCTCAGTCCAATCTTTCTGGATATGCTATGGCCATCTATCATGGTTCTTACCTTTGGGCCTGTTCTGACTTTTCTAGAAATCCCTTGCTGTTGTCTCTGCCTGTGACTCATGCTCAGCACACATGAGTCATCCAGTGTTGCCCTGTTGAGCCACTTCTTCTGACTCTCCCAGGGAATAGCTGCTCTTTGCTTCTCAGTTCCCTGGAGATATGCCTGTAGCAAGTCTGAAAGTGGTACACCAACCTCACTTTCTCCTGAGGGTCCCTCGAGAAGCTACTTCTGCTTGTAACCAGCTCATGGTCTAGGAAAGATCCTCAAAGACAATGGGGTTCTGTGACCCAGTCTTTCCATGAGTGAGTAA